TTGAAATTGAAAATTATGATTGTTTTCATAAAATTGGTTTCATAATGGACTGTCACTCAAGTTAAATGTATTCAAATATTAAAACTGAGCTAAATAAAAAACAACTTGTCATTCATAAAAACTACACCTTAAATTATTACTGTTATTAGGTATTAGAAAAATATGCTAAATCCGTATCACACAGTTCAGGTTCAAATGATCCATTATTTGCCAATGATCTTAAGCCCTTTTGTAAGTATTCAGAAAGGGTGGATTAAAAAAAGAATGGTTCTTTTTACTTTTAACTTAACCCTAAGGGCCAATAATGGAGAAAATGCTATTCTTATTTTCACATTTTAAAGTGTAGTACCTACTGGAATTTAGGATATTCTTTTAGCATTTTTTATAATATCTTCACCTTTATTTTAGCCTAGGATTTTTGTACTTAGCAAAATTACAATTTGAGTCATTTTCAAATCAGTGCCATCATACTTCTTAATCGGTTCTTGTATATGAGAGATGAGGATTTCTGAAAATATATTATTACTATTCCTAAATGCAGTTACTTCAATTCCATCCATGGTTTACCAGGTAGGATGGACCGGGCTGGTGTGTGGACAAGCAATTAGCACGTGACCCAACTAGTTGGAAGCATCATAGAACGATTAACGTTTTCAGTTAGTTCTTAGATGCTCTTTGAGAACTTTTTCTATCGCTTTGCATCTGATAGTTTAACTTATATGGAACAAATTTGTTGATGCTGCTGTTTCTATTTAGTTTTTGTCTAAATAAACTTTGCCCAACTGATACGATTTATCAATTATTGATTTGATTAATTGTTTTATGTTAAAGTCTTCCTCTCTTCTTCATTCATCATCATATTACTTCATTTCCATACAATTTACAAACGATTTACAAAGTAACTTACCTATCTTTCATGTATGAAATTTGGACATGGTGCACGTGGCTGAATATCAAGCTGTTCTCTGGAGCATCATAAGCAGTAATGGTTGTTATTTTACAACAAAAAAAAATAGTCCAATATGCTGTTAACTATACATTGAGCATACCTAATAATTATCTTAACAAAATGCAGGTCCATCAAATGCATTCAAAAGTGGTCAATTCATGGCTGCACCAAAGGCCGGCTTAGCCAATGTTTGGTCAAATGGTTATCGCATAGCCGGTTGGCCAACTAGTTGGAACTTGGAAGCATCAGCATCGATTAACGTTTGGACCAGTTTTTTGTGGTTCCATTCAACGGACTTTGAAGAATGGACATTCTTGGGATGAGATGAGTTTAATACTTACATTCATACCATTTGTTCCAAAAATTGCAAAATTTCATGTTTTTGACTTATATATGCACTTTTACTTCTAATATTTACACACATCTATGTAGGTACATACATACCTACTTGGTTTGATCAACATTCATAATAATAGGTATTCAGATTACTTACCTAGTTCAATGCGTGGTCCGTCTGTTTCAGCCAAATGACGTTCAAAAGCCTCCCGCTTTTGTCCAGCATTGAACGTCAAGTATTTCCATTGCCAAGTATTTCCACGACGACCGGTCTTACCAATGGTGTCTTACCTCATGTCTTACCAATCTTGTAAAGAAACATTAATTTGAACACAATAATAATATGATTAATTTATATTTTTTATTCATTGACAATGTGGCGCCATAGATATTTTTGTGTAAGCGAGGGTGCCTCAGTTCTGTTTATGGTGCTATAAATTATGTTTATGGCGCCTATCTGATAGGTTTTGGCACATTCACGCATTTTGAATAAATTATGATAAGTGAAATATACCTACATCTTTAAAATCGTTTGTCCTTATGAGTGAATCAACGCACAGCAAAACTACTGCAATTTTGGTAGATATCTATGAACATCAATTAAGGATTTTTCGAAATTTTCCTATATTAATCTTTGTAAGGAATGTAGGAAAGGAACTTGAACTAATTTTCAGATATCTAGTGCTCTGATAATATCACAACTAAATAAACACCACTGATGGAAATCCATGTAGTACTTCTACTAACTAATTAACATTTTATCCGACCTTGTCCTAATAAACCAACAGCCAAATAAAAAACACAAACGCTGCGGTGGGTCCACAAACGACACAATAAAGACACACCAACTTATAGCATATTTTGTCCATCCAAAATATTTCCAATTTGCTAATACCACATACCAATCGTATCAAGTTTCAAGTAGCTATAGTAGCCAAGTAATAAACTATTTGAGTTATTGATTAATAGGAAAATGGAAATGATATAAAGTGTAGGTAATATTTTGAGTATTCAATTCGATCACGTTTTGATGCGTTCACGTGTCATCTATCGATTATTAATCACAATCGATAGTGCACATTCTTGGCCATAATTGTAAAGACTAGTCTAGACGGGCTGAACGGCGATAAATATCAGAAGTTATATGTCAATTAAATCGGTCTTGTTTTGTTCGATAGAGGCTTTTCCGTAGCTGCAGTGGCGTCATAGAATCATCTTCCTTATAGTCACTCACCTATGTAGTTTGATTCTGGGTTTTGACTTCACTGGGTTAGTGTAGTTTAAAGACTGTCTACTACCGGGGGGATTTGACATTTTGCACAATATTTAAGTGTCTACTCTACATTGTAATGTAGCTTTTCGTTCGGGTGTTCGATTACTCCGATAATTGATATGTTCTTTTGCTTGTTTTTATCATGCCCTTGTATATCTCGTTGGGTTAGTAAATACGCTTAATTATATTCGCTACGCTTTATTATTTATATAAAGATAAGGTTTTTTTTTTAGTCACTGATATTGAACTGAAAGTAAATCATTTACAGAAAAATATGTCAATCCAAAGAAGTAAATAAGCACACTATGATCAGTGAGAGCTGGCGATTGCCAACCACATCCGCAACCACAACCTTTGGCCAAACACACTAAAACTGTTACAGGGTTGACATTATGTAAATACCAAGTTGTCCGTTACAGAATGTTGTATTTAAACTTGTTCGTAAGCAGGAACATTTGCCTCCATGTCTAATTAACGGAATTGTAATCACATGCGTATTAAAATTAGTGTTCTTACCCAATATTTGTGAACATTCCGAAGTCCCAAACACCTGCGGCGCGCATGCGGCGGCGCTCTGTGCCCGCTAGTTAGCACTTACATCATGTGCCTTAGTGTGTTTAAATACGAGAGTGTGTACCCCGCCTTAGTCGCTTAGATGGATGGATACAGACAGTGTATGTACAATCTTGATAAAAAAATATACGTTTTAATGGATTTGACATTGCCTGTCTCAAGTAAAATTAAATAAGGTATTATCAAGTACCTACTTAATATTATTATTTATTTTGTCTAAATTTTGTTTTGGCGAATTCAAGCACAGAAATAAAGTGGCACTAACCTTAGCGAATATCTAAACAAACAAAAATCATAATATTGACTTGGATTAAGGAAAAATTATTACAAGTTCTGTTTTTTTAACAAAGACCTACGCAATGTCATTAGGTGCGTCATTTAACTAAAAGTCCCGTAAAATTTTTTTTCCATTAACCTTATTTTTATAAAATCAGTTGACAATATTCAACAATTTTATTGATTTTATAATGGAAAGCTTACTGATTAATTTTCACCTGAAAAAAAATCTACTTTTAACTACTAACAGTTGAATCGAACACTTCTCTTTACTGAGCGTCTTATTATGTAAGTAAATTTTGATAAGGGTCGGGTTTATTATATCACTGAAACTCAGTGGCTCAATGAAGCAAAAAAACTAAAGTTAAGCTCTAGTAAAGTTCTTTAGTTGGCTCCATTAATGCCAATAGTGCTAATACTTAACGATTAAATATACTTAAATCTCGTACTTTGACTAGTTACTATATCATACAGTCTTTATCTCTGATGCAAAATAAAATATTGTTTATGATATTTTAATTTTCTATAGTCACGTGCGTGTCCGACGACGTACAGATTGTGACGCAATTTGTCAGTCCACCGCGTCAATTGAAAGTCCTAAAGAAATTCAACACACAATTTTAGACAGTGTAATTTTATTTTATTGTAATTTATTAAGTAGAAATGATTTTCCCTGTAGTTTTTAAAATAAACAGTATTCAATTGTTTTCCGGAAGTACAATTAACGATAAGAAATAAATGCCAAAATATTATTGTCCTTGGAATGTTGTTAATAAAGCTGATTTAAAGTTACAAAAAATACTAGGCATGCTTTATGAATGAAACGCAAAACTCTTGCTGTCAGCATTTTGTAAGTGTTCTCATACAATAGCATGATGCAATTTATGCATTTTCAAACGTGTGCATTAGAATGATGCAATATCACAGTTTGTTTTCCAACTGAAGTTATTTGAAATGTGTTTAAAAAGTATGGACTATTAACCTAGTTTTATGCTCAATCTACTTAAAACAAACCTTATTATGTCAACAGGACCTACCTATTTTTCGGATTTCTGAACTATAAATTGTATTTAACACACAAACCCAAAGCATATCCTACAATTACCTAAATAAAAAAAAATCTTTCGAGTATTCTTGCAGTTAAAAAAAAAAGTTTTTTTTGTTAAATCCTGGAATATTGCACACGATATTCAACCTCACTATGAATTAAAGCTCCGAAATTGAAAAGGATCCTCTTTCAATTTTTGTACTAAATGTATATCTGTCTCGCTCTAGTCCAGGACGTGGATCAGGTGCTAAATAACATGCGCACGCGCGTCGCCGCGCTAGTTAGCCTCACTTACCCTGTTTGCTCTAAACGTTACTTTTCACTTACTCTTCCGGCCGATCATTGGAAATTTACCCTTTTTTGTGCCCGCTACTAGGGTAAACAATGTTGAATGCCTCTTAGTATTCTATTAGCTTGAAAGCGTGTTTCATATTGTTAAAACTATACTCGTACTTCAATATGATTAAAATTCTTTCAAATTACAAAATAATATCACACTATACTGGAATTATAAAACTTATTGCACAGAAATAAAACCAAAAACAGCGAGTTAAATATTTAATTTCGTAATTTTTCTTAGCAATTATACGATTTCGTTCAGCATCTGATAACTTATAATAAGACACAGTAATATAAAGACAGTGTCACACTATTTAACAAATTCATTATGTTTTTAAGCGCATATTTTGTAATTGTTTTTACATTGTGGAATGTGGTGTCATCGACTGGAATCCATGGGTATTTTATTACATAAATACATGGAATAATGGGGGAATGTAAAGCATCGAATTTCACTTTGAATGACAGCAGCGACATCTATTCAATTGTTTTGTCAAAATATAAAATGAATTCTTCGAATTACTGCAAAGTAAGACGACACAATATTCAGTATAGTGTCTAATTTCTTTTCGAATAATACATGACATAAAAATATATTACATATTTATAATTTACTACATCTGCGAATACTTATAAAAGGGAAAACGGTGACATTAATTTATTTGCCAAAGTGTATTTACGATAACATTTCGGGAAAATTTTATTCAAATGCGTATTGCAAGCAAAGCTTTACGTAACCAAATCCAACCTGATCACCGTCGCTTCCCTCATTGCAACATCTTTACAACGAAAATTAATTCAGTTATTTCCTTATGTTAAACATCGTTTATCTACCCATAGTTTACTGACATAAACTTAACTCTAGTAGTTACAATGTGAACTCAAGTCGTACCGCCACGACGCTATGGCACAGATCTCGATACTATAAGATTAACATGTTCTATTATTTAGGAATGCATTAGAAACATCACGCCTTCACACATCATCGGGTCGTTCGGGTTAAAATGAATACAGGAATCTCAAGGCATTTTGATGAAAGCGAGAAATCAGACTAAAGACTTACAGAGATTCAATGACCATCACTCTCATGCTAAACCTTAAAATAATATTTACAAAACGCTCAAACCATACAATCAATATAAAAACAGAATAATATTAATGAACATTAATTGAAATTTTCAGTACGCGAAGTAAGAAAATCTAGGTTACGAACTGCGGCTAATCAGAGAGAGCGGTCGGTCGGATTAAATACCCATAATTAAATACAAAAACATTTTAATACAACTTTACAACTAACATCTACGTTTACAAATTTTCTGATTAACTTTTTTGATAAATAAGTAAACACAAATAGGTTTTTTATAATATTTACAAGCATAACACGATCCGTACTTAATTTAAGAGTAAAGCGTTTTAAATAATAACACACTGAGAATTGACGTAAAGGCATTTTTGCTACACTTATGGCAAGCCAGCCGGACCGTGCGAGCCGAGGTGGCGGCGCGGCCTCAAACACTCGTCCAGCGGTGGTCTGTCGGCCTCGTGACCAGCGACTACTATTTGCTCATTCTACAGAAACCTTTTTTCCTTTTAGAGCACGAGCCCGACCGCAGGCAAGAGCAAACGAGCGCTCCGATGTTACACGACCTTAAGGAATTTCACAGCTCCGGACGTCGTCCCGGCGTGGCTCTTTCTCCCCATTCAAATGTTTACTCGTCCGCTTCAGCTACCATTCATGCGGCCACCGAGCTAACCTAACGCTATCCAGTCCTCGTCACTGTAATAATACTGCGATAGTTGACTAATACTCTGTCCACTCACAATGTCCAACAGCTGGCAACGGTACGCGCGAAGCGTTTAAGCGTGAAGCTGCTAAGTTTTGGGGGGTTGGTCTACGTTCCGTCGCAGTTTCTCCGCCTCTGATACCTGCCGTGGTGGTGGCGGATGCCATGGCAGGGGGCTTTGATGGCGTTGGGTGAGGAGGCGCGGTGCCTACGCTGCGGACGGTCCCCTGCGAGCACATTGTTGTGCCTGGTTATGTCGAAGTCGTGCGCCACCTTCATGAAGGACAGGCACTTGTGAAACCGCTCGGAGAGACGGCTTTTGCCGCGCCGCAGCTGCATCCCCCGCCGGTTGAACCCTATGTAGCGGTCTTCGTTCTTCGTCAAACGGTATCTGTTGTAGCCGTCCACAAACTCTTCTTTGAAAAGACAGTTGGGCTGTCTCTCCGCTTGGAATCGTGTCTATGGGCAAAACAGAAAAAATATTTTACTCTATACATCTAGACAATCAAGTAGTTACAACAATGTCATGTACATTAAACGTGGTCTAGATAATATGGACGAAACAATGTCCCAAATAAACCAAGAGCTTCAGTAAGTTTCTTGTTTTACCGTTCACAATCAGAACTAAATCGAAATCATTTACGCCAACTACTTGTGTTTAGGAGATAATGCGAAGCGTAAACTATTCTTGTCCGAGCATTAGAAGCTATTTACTTAGAGCCTCTAGTCTAAAGCATGGCGGACATTTTATCGCTAAACGCAAGATTAACATAGGAATGTTTGTGGCTGGAGAGCCCCACATAACTCATTGGCTCCCCCGGGCTGGTGAGTATGCAGTTTCATGCATTTTCCAGTCGAAAAAAAAAAAAAAAAAAAAAAAGGAATGTTTGTNATGTTTGTGGCTATCTTCTATTAACATTGAGACTATCAATTTCGAATAAGTTATTTGTTAATTTATTACTTTTAGAATAAACAAACTAAGGGCTGATTTTTCAATCGTTGGATATCTTTTAAGTTAAGAATAAAATTGACATTGTAAATTAGAGAGGACGTGATCCAGTGGAGTGCAGTGGAGCAGTGGTGACCTAATGATAGTTGATGGTGATTGTGGTAGTTATGATGCTAATGCTGATGCTGATGATGATAGTGATGAGGATGATGATGATAAATGAATAGTAGGCTCTTACCAGTCGTCTGCCGACCAGCCTGGATCGGTTGAAGCATAGATACAGGTCGTGCACGGGCGAGTGGATGAGCAGCTCGAGGCTGAAGCCGCGGGTGCTGATGGTGAGATTCGCTGTAACAAACAGAAATACATATCAATTATGTAGGTAAACATAACGTAAACAATACACGTAATAATGTAAATAGTATATGGATCAAATTAAAAGACCGAACCGACGTGTCGCGACGATGTGGAAAAGGTCATAGGAAACGTCTAGTGGGTCTAGACAAAGTGCATATTATAATCGCAAACCAGTCGAAAAGTGGGGGAAATGCCTTTTTTTGCAACTTGTCTAAGGGGGCTGATCAGGGCACGTAGTGGTCGTTGTAAAAATACTGTGAGAAGTGTATATGAAACGTATATACATACTTTCAATTGAAAGCACAGACTACATAATTAATTACCTACCATGTAAAAACTAACAAAAAAGCAGTCCCGTAATGTGAACGTTTAAATGCGGTGATTGAATCATTAAAACGTTGAATCATTAGCGGATTCGTCAAATTAATGCATAAGTAGCAGCAATTATGGCTCACTAAATACTGATAGATTGTTTAATTGTTGGGAATGAGAATAAAGTTTCGCTTAAACTTTCAATAACTAACTTGCAAAAAAATTTACACATTATTTAACAACTTAATGATAGACGATCAATAAAAATTAAATACAGCCCTGTTGATGACTAATGAGTAGGTATCAAAATTCTTAATTCATTATAATGACAATAACATGAATATATATTATTGGTATAATATTAATAAAATAAACTAAAAATAATATCTATAAACATTAAACACGGTAGGTGTACCAGAACCCAATATTTCTTGAACTAATTGAACATGAAACTTTCTTCGACCGCCCGGACCCATACGAATTAATTAACTCATAAGTACAAGTACTAATAAATATAATGTAAATATTCGAGGAATTTTCAATAGCATCAAAACAGGCGCGCGCGCATACGCTCACTATGAACACGTGATAAATTCAATTACTAATGTGATAGAGTGAGAGACATTAATACACTCCATTAATATCCGTAGAGAGAGATAGAGAGCGCGACAAACTAATCGTTAATGATATTTGAAGACTAATAAAGTATAAAAATAAAATGACCATAGATATTAACCTACAGCTACAGGCTAGATATTCAATACTTGAAGAATAAGGAGCTGTTTACATGAAGATTAATTCGTCTTATTCATTCATTGTGTACGAAGCTCTACATTTCATGGTAAAAGGGTTATTGAGTTTTTCTTATGATACGGTGTCTTCTACCTTAAACTATCTACTTTGAAAACAAACATAGCATGACGTATTCTTAGTCACTTTTAGTCAAATATTGTTCTGTGATAAAAAAGACAAAACAATATTGAATTGAAACGCTGTTTCAGGCTTAGGCCTAAAGGTTAGGTTTTTTTTGCCATATTAAGAGCAATCATACTAAAAATCTCTTATTGACATTAGAATAAGCAAATGGCGTCATGTAAACCAACCATGTCTGTCCATCGATAGGAAACATAAAAGTGGAAAGTTCGAATATGGAATCCGATGACCGAAAGCGATGGGACTCGAATAATAAGAATTAATATAACGAACCTGCTTCCTTTACAATCTCTACTTTAATCCCCTGTGATAGAGTGTTGAATTGGAGAGAAGTACATATTATGGTCTGCGACACCAGTCATGTCGTTTCAATTAACATTAGTTGAAATAAAAATGCGTCGTGTCGGAGCGTGCTGGCTGCACCAGGAACATAAATTCGTTATAATTTCGAATTACACAGAAAGGTGAAAGTGATATAATTATTTTATGATGTAGTATCGAGATAACAATTGAAAGAAGGGATCAGTTACTGTGTAAGTCATTGAACAATAAAATTATTAAGGTAATGTTTCATTGGATTTAGATAAGAAAGTATTTTTAAAAATTTGTATTTTATAAACTGAACAGATACAAAAAACTATAAAGGCCCAAGTAGAGTTACGATGGTATAATTCATAAAAAAATCTATTTTATCCGACGCTAGATATTTATTGGTTTTAAATATTTTTGTTTTCTTCATAAATCACCCAAATAAATACTTACATAAAAATATTCATTATCCTTTTTTGATGAAAGATTATCCGAAGTATAATTAAAACAATTTCGCCGATCACTCAAGCATAATGGGCCAATTTGTTTGCTGAATTATCAGTACATTTATACTTCGATTACTTACATAATAATCAGCTATCGCAGACGCGTCAAATTATCACACTACGGGGAGCTGACGCTGATAGAGTCCGATATAATTTTTTGAAGATAGCTTTAGATTATATATTATTTGAATATCAATATAGTGTACACGACTATATTGGGTAATCAATATGTATAGTGTAATTAGAAACGTTTTGTTAAGTTTATCTCCATTTATTATACCTAGATAATATTTAGATAATATTTGAATATCAATATCGTGTGTGTTCGACTATATTGAGTAATCAATATTTATAGTTTAATTACAAATTATATACGATCTCCGTTTATTTACTTTTTATTTGTTTGATTACATTAAAATATTAAGTGCTTTTGTCCATCAATAAAAAGTCATAAAATTCGTTACTAAAGCTTTACTTTTAAAGCGCTTTTACAAATGCAAAAATAGAAAGAAAATGTAATTTTCTACGAAAGGAATATTTAGTCAACGAACATTTATGAAGCATTTTGTTAATTAGGTATCTACTTACCTACCTAAGGCTGAGTTGCACCACCTAACTTTGACCGTAACTTTGACGATAACCGGTGTTTTTTGTATGGAGTTTGACAGACTTTTGACGTTTCTCAAAGTTAAAGTAAGATGGTGTAACCCAGCCTTAGTTTATACAGTCTACCGCTTGTGAAACAAATGAGTGTTTGTGTGGCCTTAGTATCAGTGACTACACTAAGCTCAGCGCTTAGTTTAGCTTTTTCAGTAGATCCACTGCTAAGCTCTGCGCTTAACACTTGGCCACGCTTTGTGTGGCCATAAAGTTAGTGCAGTGAGTTAATGTTAGATAAAGATTTAACGATAAAGAGGTAAAGATTAACATTAATAATGTAGGTATGTTTGATGTGCAGTAATTGCCTATGGGTGAATTTCAACAAGCTCTTTTTTGCCTCATTCCGGTGGCGAATTTTCATTTCCACTTTCCAAAACTTTTTTGTGGCAGAAATAATAGTAAATGATAAGATACGAGTAGGCAGCAGTCACTTTTGCTTCCAATAATATAACCTTCATAACTAGATCCGTCACAGGCTTACACAAAGGGTCATACGAGACAATTTTCTGTTTTCATAAATAGATAGGTAGGTCTACAATGTAAGTTAGTATATAAAAGTGAGAGCCATTGCGATAGATGCTGAGTATCTACCCAATAAATAAGAAGATGAAGTGATAAGTCGTCTGTCAATAAAACAATAGAAAACTACCTGCCTATCTACCTACAGCCGTTATAGCGTTATAGCTACCTCACTAGAAGTACAGTCCCACACAAAATACCTTATCCAATTTGTTTGAACTTTCTTCAGGACCACACATCTTACGTCAACGTCATTTCGAAACTGTCCAGCCAACATTGCTCAACGCCGTAATAGGCGAAGGCTAATTTTGTAAAGACAACATAATCTCGCGCAACGCAAACTCCCTTTGAGGAGCCGACATTTCACTTGTGTTTGTCATTGTACTTTATACGAGTACAGTTTTCGATTTTGAAAAAGATTTTCCGTAACAAAAATTTTGAAGTGATAATTTGGCTGTCACTAATTTGGTGTCAACTGTCAGACTTTATGAACTTGAGTTGTTTCAAGGCCTAGGCGCAGACCACCGACTTTAAGTTGGTCGATAGTTGGACCCGATTCTAATTTGTATGAAGAATCTGCCGATTCCAAATCGGTGTAATGTGCGCACTCTCGTTCATGTCCATGCTGATAGCCCGAACCGACTAACGAAACTGTGATCCTGTAAGTAAAGTGTTTTGTTTTTCTTATGTCCTTAACCGGGAATTTTCCTATTAAGACTATTTAACTTCTAGACTACGACAACAATATTGACAATACCTAGGTATTATTTTATTTTGCGTTTCAAATGAAAGTTAATCAGTGTAGGTAAGTATTTGATTGCCATACTTTACGAATGACTGTAATTCCCAGAATGAAAGACAGACAGTTTTCCAATTGTTTTGATACGCTGACGCCTAATTGTAATCAAATTACTTGCGTATTTTCTAAGTATTCAATTTAGTAAGTAACCTGACACTCTACCACCCACAAACAAATTATACAGGGTGTAGATGATAAATATTATTTACGATAGGAATCTATACTTTAATAATATAAATGCGAAAGTAACTTTGTCTGTCTGTTTGTCTAGCTTTCACGCCTAAACCACTGAAGCGATTTTGATGAAATTTGGCATAGAGATAGTTTGAGTCCCGGGAAAGGACATAAGATAGTTTTATCCCGGTTTTTGAAACAGGGACGCGCGCGTAAAGTTTTTCTGTGACAGACAAAATTCCACGCGGGTGAAGCCGCGGGCGGAAAGCTAGTTATTAATATTGTTACAGTTTAGAAAACAAATAGGTAGCAGCGATAAAAAATCCCTTCGGACATTTTATACTATTATCACTGAAAGTTCAGACCCCTCGCTATTGTAGTCAAGCAGTAGAAGGCACCTAGTATAGTTCTTGCAACTCACGAAGCCGAGTGAGTTTTACTTGTGTGTGTACGTGTACATGCACATAACGATAGTGTAATGTCTATCAAAACTTTTGAAAAGCGAATAGTAACGAGCCACCACACATGTAAAGGCAGGACACACGCAGGCGAGTGACTTCATGAATTGCAACAACTATACCCACAACGACTTCTGTAAAAATTAATTTCTAAATTTACCCGACTGGGCATCTAACCTAGGACTCGCATCAGTGGTCAAGTGTAAACTACACTGACGTACGTCTAAGTGCGAAGTAGTACGGACCGAATGTGCCTGAGTGACCAGCCGATGCGGGGTCACTGACCGATTATCGCTACTGATAGTGACTCCATCGGCGTAA